CAAAATACACACATGTTTTTTAGAATTCAATTTTCTCATAATAATTCTTTTTTTTTAAAAAAAAAATGATTTAACAATTGACAAAAAAATAAATTCCTTACATAATCAAGAGATTTTTTCTAATTTTCATCCTAATGCTTTATAGTTTAGTTAACATACTATGCAATAGAAAAATATTTTACAATAAGTTCATTTTTTAAGCATAACAAAAAAAAGTAATAAAAACACTATCATAGTTGACAATAATATGCAAATAAATAACATGTCGAAATTTTAAAGAATAACTAATACTACATCCTATTTTTAATATATGTCGTTTTGAGAAGTTGCACACTAATTAAGAATATTTTTTTTGTCAATAATAACCTTATTTAATGAAGATAGAGATGAATGTTTTGAAAAAAAGTGAAGAGTGAATATGAAAAGACGTAATGTATTTATTGGCTAAATGAGGGTAATAATGGAAAAATATGTACAAAATATCCAAAACGACATTTATTTAACAAATAGTTGAAAAGGCTAGAATGATATTTAAAAAAAAATAGGAGAGAGTATAATTTTATTATTTAACCATCAATAAAATCATTTAATGATGTGATCATTATCTTTTAAATGATAAATAATATTAATTTCTTAAAAAAATATTAGTTTTATATAATTAAATAAAAGTTAAAAAATATTACTCGACAAATATTAATTATTATGGATATCAGTAAAATCATTACATAAATTATTTAAGGAAAAAATCTTTAAGATCATATCTGGATAGTAAATGTAAATATGCAAGCATTTAATGAATATAGTAAAAAATTTCCAAATAAGGTTTGCATTAAATGTGTGTTGACTTTTCTTGCTACTATTTTTGGTAAATAGGTTGGCTTTTAATATATATATAGATATAGATATAGATATAGATTAATTAAAAAAAGTAGATTTAAAATTTAGTTACTACTAATCTTAAAGGGTGTGCAAAATAACACACCATCAAGAGCTGTGATTTAAACTGAGATGGGAACACAACTCATCTTGGCTCGTGAAAGTTCGAACTGATTAACTTATTCATTTACTTAATTAAACGAGTCGAGCTCTTACAACTACTCGAGTCATTTATTAAATATCTGAGCTTAGCACGCTAGCAGACAACTCGTTTCTTTATTTATTGCAAACTCACAAATCGTATTGACAAACAACTAGCTCGTTTACAGTTTTTGATCTGTTAAACGAGTCGAACCGAAATTTCATTAGCTCGAGTCGATTCATTTACTGAATAAGTACGAGTTCGAATACGAAGTGCTCGGCTCCACTAAAATAATAAAATAAATAAAATAAATGAATCCCATCAATTAATTATGCTTCTTTCTCATATTGGAGTTCTGATTATAGTGTCATTTAATCAATTTATCATGCCATACAAAAAAGACAAAATTAAAAGAATAAAAAATTA